GGTATCTAGGCACCCCGGGGTGTTGGTTTAGAGTAGGGTTGTTTTGTTTAATGCATGTGACTCCCTCTATTTGATTCTACTGAACCACCACTTCTCATTAGGCAGTGATCAAGTGTAGATGTTTTTTCAGTTGTGCTCTCTTCACGTATTCACTACACTTTTGATGAAATAGTAGTTAGCTGCAATAACTTACCTTTGTTTATTGATTATTTTTTTCTCATTTTCGACTTCTATACAGTTTAAGATGAATTCAGAATTTTGTGTTTTACAACGTTTGATATTATTACAACTATTTTGATTGCCATTACTGGCTTCAGGTCTGGGGGTCACGTTCAAAGCTATGATTTTTCTGCTATCATTTGTGAAGAGATTCATTATTATATGAATCGTCCTTTTTTCCCCACCAATGTTTGTGTTCCTCCTGCATTGTTCAAACCTGTTCATGATGAGGGGGATTTTGACAGTTTTTTTCCATGTATTGAACCCACACACATAAAAATCATCTGCTTTACATTTTGGACACTCTACTCAGCTGAACTGAAGTACGAGGCTTTATCACACCTAGTACCTTACATAATTCATCAAACAGCTGAGTGTTGAAGTCTGCTTTTTTGATCAATGTGGATTTTCTCTTTGTGCTCTGAAATTCTTCTAATTTACCGATGACTGTTACGTTAACATAAGTGATTCGGCCTGCTTATTGAAATAATCAATTACTACCTGAATGCAATGATTAATACGGTCAGATTTGTGGAGAGGTCTATTAATATAAAAGACTATAGAATAGAAAACCTAGAAATCACTTATGGAGATTTCTTTGGTATGGGCGATACTTTCTCTGAGCTATTTATACCATTGCTCTACACTTTTTTGACAATGCATTCAGTAAAACTGTTGGTTGGCTGTGATATGAAAAATGATGCTCTAGTGTTCTTTGATCCATGTAATATTAAGAGTATCTCCAATCTCAGAGTCTTCAGAAACTCTAGCAGTATCATAAGGTTTGACCCTACTATTGTGCAGATGTATCTCTAATTGTTCAAACAATTGCTGCAGGTTATGCTTCCATAATATCTTCACCAATCTTTTATGGTTGTGATTCACCTTGCTGCACAACAGGAGGCATTCATAGTAGATCTGTGTCTTCTATCTTTTCTCATAATTTCTCCTTCATTATATTCAACATCCAGTCATCAGTGAGATCCTTAATCTTCACATGATTTGTCATCATGGTTGAAACTTTAGGTCTCATGGCAGCATTATTTCAAGAATTTATACATACTTCGAAAAGACAAGCTCTCATCTGCAGGCAAAAAAGCCTCTTTGTGTTTTCATACTGCTGCCCTAGTCAACATTGTGCACAAAGATTATACTTCTTCAAAGTTATGATCATACATTCTGGTTCTTTAAATTTTACCAATCTCATCAATGATAAATGATCTGTTTTAGCACAAAGTCTCTTAATTTTACGGGACGTATTTTCTTCCGTACTGGTCTCCATCTCGTTGGCCTCTGCTTCACGTGGAGTTCATCTGCTTCATCAGGAAATGTCCTATCGTCGGTAACAGTCACATCAGT